GCACTACCATCGCGATTTCACGACCGACAAACTGGGCTTGGGATCAGTGAACCATGTATAAAATATATCTAATCCTACAAAAAGTGTGGGGTTGTAGGGGGAGCCTAGAGCTCTCCAAAATATCGTACATGTTTTTTGGGCTCTCAGAAAGCCTCCGCTCTTCCGAAGGAATCTCCGTTAATTGTGATAAGCTGTGCGGCCCACGGCCTGGCAGCCAGAGTCAGATTGAGGCTATTGGGCTAGAAAGAAGCCGTATGGGCGCCTGTTTTGAGCTGAAATCGTAGAGTGAGAATTTACGCATTAAATGAACTTCTCTGAATGCGATAAAGGGCTGGGAGCCATCCGTATCACCGCTACAGGCGCCGCTCTTTTAGTTTAGTTTTCATACTTGCATTCGAAATCGGGACAGAACTAGCGAAAAGGGGTAAGAGGTTTAGCCTCAATTTGCCCCGTTCGGGATGCGGATTCGATCCTCAACGAGGCACACCTCTGCACTCCAAAATTGTATTTAAAAATGGTCCTATTATCAGCATCACTCCCATACTGATTGGCGTGCTGATAGGGACCTCAGAAAAAATACCTTTGGTAGAAGATTGCCAAAATTACTTACACTCATTTTTGAGGAAGACAGCAGCTACGATGGCTGGGGTGTGTTGCGGTTTTGGTGACGTCATTGAAAGCCATTGGTGGGAGGGCTCCGAAAGACGCTTCTAACCACGCTTTTCAGCGTGCTGAGGGGTCTAGCTCACCAATGACGTTCCATGATGTCATCAAGCCATACCCCTCTCCAGCCATCGTTATCCCTATTTTCAAGGAGTTTGGAACGGCTGAGCGCAGTTTTTTTTGTCTAAAGTATTATAGAATTGAATGCGTTTGTGAAAAAACTGTGAGGTGAAATTTCACAAGAATGCTTAGTTATGACAAAACTTTAGCCCCAGGCGAGACTCGAACCCGCACCTCTTGGTTGCCGGGCAATTGCGCTACGAGTTACGCTACCGGGGCACCATTCTTGCCCTAATTCAGCTTATAACTAAGCATTCTTGTAAAACCTTCGCAGGGAGAACTGCGGCCGGAAGCAGCACTTAACGACCAAATACATTTTTCATCTAATTACAACGTATATTTAGGAGCAGGTGAACCATCGGTGAATCCTTCGGACGGCTCAAAAATCTCGAAGAACAAAAAGATCACTAAAAAACCATTGACCAACGACGACAACAACGCCTGTTCCAAGTTCAATGTCTACAAATGAGGTTCTGACGCCCTTTTACAATCCGCTTGATTTTGAGTGAAACCACTTTATCTAGAGCTCCAACGAAGAGGGCAGAGCAGTACACAGTTGCCAGGTTCAAGAAGAGAGAATACACAGAAGTTGAGATGCCTCGTAACAGGCAACTGGGCGCCTCTCCCATAGACAGCGTTACCGGACCCTTGCAATGATCATTATTCATTGTGGCTTCATGCAATGTTCGGCGGTGCTTTTCTATTTTTTTGATAAAATTCTCTACCTGGTGTGCCATATAGACTTTTTAGTTATAATATTTATGTGAATATTTCGTGGTTTCTTTTATTTTTAATTACTTTTTCATGCACATAGTACGTAGATAATTATGGCAGGCACACATATGTAATGTATACTATTTTATTAAGTTTGCTGAAGTTGTTTCAATGTTACTATCTACATCAACAGGATATTCAAACTCAATAACTGTCGCAAAACAATATAGTAATTAAGTGCAAATTTGCCTCGGTAGAGCCGGTGACGGTCCCTTCAATCGACAACTCCGAGCAACCTTCAACTTCGAAATCAGCCGAGAACAGTCACGAGACTGTGCAAGTGAGAATTCTCTGGCAAGACAAAAATCCTTGCGAGCTGCCTGCCAGTGCCGGAACACCCGGAGGAGTCGCCAGAAAAATGTGGGTAGTTACACTTGTCGTGTGTACTTAGGGGGTGAACTTGACTCCGGTAGTTGCAGCTTTATTGGCCGAAGCCAGAACGTATAATTGAATCACACTTATTCAGTGTCACTCTTATATAGGCGCGACTTGGTTTATATCACTTGAATCGGATATATATGCACATTGATAATTGCTGAATTGATACATCCCCCTGTAACAGCTTAGATTCAGTGCTCACAACTAACTATTCCTTTATAAGCAAGACAGATCAAATAGCTAACAAGTCCTCTTTGTAACGCCTTTTGAGGATTCATGGGACTTTTCAATTCCACAAAAGCGGCGCCGATGTCGTGCAATGCCTTCTTCTAAGTAAAGTCATATGAGTCCACGGCAACACGTCCTCGCACAACCAGAGAAAACAACTATTGCGCCAATCTATTAGATTGAGCAAAATTATCTGCCGTTTTTTCTCAGGTTCATGGCTCTTTGACTTTGCTGATTATTTTCGAAGATTAGGGTGTAGTTTGGAAGCTTTCAATCTCTTGTACTTTTTGATATACACCACTTGTGTACTTGCTTCTCTCTGAAGCCTACACGGGAGCAAAAAAGATTGCTCATGCTACACGAGTGCAAGTTGGGCTCGAAAACGATGCTTCTGCATCTGCTCGTTGAATTAGTGAAGCTTTGATGAACACGGTTACGCGAAGAGGCTCGTTTTGAGGAGCCGCATTCTGATTATCCAGTCTGTTGTTTCTCTCCGTTGTTTATGTTAATAAACTTATGACTGAAATGAAGAACTGCGGATAATCTGCTAACCAAAATAAATAACCAAGTCCGGTACTGAAGCAATGAGAAGTACTTGTTGGAGCTCATTTCGCCTAGCATCTGTAGAGTATTTAGTGGTCTAGTGGTTGTTTGGATGGTTGTAGATCTTCCGTTACTTTAAGACATTCTTTGAAGGCCTCGAAAGAACTAAATCAGGTCACCGAATCTGAACGGAATTGAAATGCGCGGCGCAATGCGAGGCGATTTTCAGCGCTGCACTTTTTATTCCTCCAGTGCTTACTTGATTGACAAGCACTTTCCTAGTCAATTTGTGATATTTGAATTGTACCAACAACTCGCTGTCAATCTCCACATTTGCACGAGCCACCTACTTCGTAATAACTTCGTGCTAGTCTTGAAGTCCAAAAATTCTCCTTCTTTATCTTGTCATCGAGTATTTTTCAAAAAATACATTTTAGGTGGCATTTTGACGAATCACTGATGTCTTGTGTACCTTTCGTCTTTCTTGGCTCAGGCGGAAATGCGAATCGATTTAGTGATCCAGAAAGCTGTATGCGTACTTGTGGGAGTGGTATGTTCTTTCTTGTCTTGGTCTCTCATCTTTCAGAGATCATTTTCCCTCAATTATCATGAAATTCTTTCTCATCACCTTCGTTTCTCACTTTCAAATGAACTCTGTACCCTCTCTTTTTTTTTCCTTCTTGAACTACTATTTGATTTTTTTAAGGAAGACCTACACGTGCTTCATGTGATTTGCCTTCACAATTTGGAAATGGCACTTTTAAAATACCGCGTTACTACTTCGACAAGGTAATATTTTATTTCAACAAGAGTTTCTCATATATATAATAATCATTTTTATTTTTGATATTTGTTTCCTCTCTCGTTTCATGACGCGCCGGCTTTTCCTACGCGATCAAACTTTCTAACACATGTTGTATTTATTAGGTATGATATAGCGCATCTACGCGTGCACCAAACAAATAAATAAGTAAATAAATGGACAAATAAATACACTGCATTCTCTACAAACAAATTCTGAAGGTCAAAGCAATCTGAGGACTCTACAGCAATATTTGACCCCACCAAATGAGCTTAGAACGTTATGCCGTAGAGGGCAACCACCGTAGTGGGAGAATGTCGGTGCACTTACAATCTCGCTCATTTCTTGATGGGTTCTGAGTATCACTGATAAGAAACCTCGTACCAATCCCATTAGGGGGCTTTTCATGGCGTTTACCAGCCCTAATTCCAACCTGTTTCCATCTCCAAAGAGTTCGTCATGAGTAAACTGAGGCGAGAAGGAGTTGCGGGAGTATGCATACACGTAGCTGGAAGGACAAGAATCATCGAGGCAATTTAGCTTCGAAATCTTCGAAATCAATTCGCCCATTTTGACCCCTTCAAAGGATGCAATACCTTTTTCATCAAGTTCCACCCACCCTGTTGAGAATCCCCCGATAGATGGTTGACCCTGCTCGGGGAGGAGTATGCACAGGCTCCCCATTCCACAGAGGCGCAGGCAAAGGCGGATTTTCCCACTTGAACGTTGACGTGGTACTTAATAATTTGATATCTAGTTGGTGCCGCTTGTTTTCGCGGAGAACCAATTTGAGAAAGGAGCACGTCAGTTGGAACAAGCTACCCTACCGAGTGTGTGTTTACAACAGCATCTTTCAAGCCTATATCGCAGCGTAGCTAATCTTTCGAACAGGCACTCTAAGGAGCTTATACAGTGCTAATACTGGAATGGTAGGAGGGTCTCCAGTGCTTCTTTGCAAACGCCTCGTGGATGTATTCAGTAGATCCACCGAGCTTTCAGAGCTAACCCTGGAGCAGTGATCATTGTCTTCCATTTAAATTACGGATGGACGCGAATTCGGTACTGTTTGGATACATCGTTGTGCCATTCCCACTGAGTTGTGTGAGCCAAGGCCATAGTTTGCGGCTCCCCATTCACGCGATCTTAAATGGAGTCGTGCGCGGAAAATATCATGACTAGCATCTTTTTCTCCTTCAATTCCTCTTTACATCAAGATCAGCTCCTTCCACATCCTTCTAAGTGAATAGCAGTCGCAATTGCGGTCGACAGCACGCAAACTGCAAGTCCGCTGGACTGCCTTCGTTGGCTCAACCCTTACTACTGGGGACATTCCATGTTCCCACTTCGTACTCAAAGCACTGCACAGTTCGGGAATACTGAGCAGAGTCATTTATGGCTGAACTGGCACACATAGAACTTTCAATCTACTATTACAAAAAATGTCAGAGTAAACGAGTCATAATGCTTAAGTACTTGACCTGGTGGACCAGGGTGAAAATCGTGTCGAGGAAATAACCGCCTCTTTACGACCCCCCTCCAAAACATGGACTCTGATACGACCCCTTTTTGTCCTCTGCACATCCGGTTTCATATCAAAAAATGCTAGTTTCAGATGTGCGAGAGGGACGCAGCGCCACTGCCACGCAAATGCGGCTTGATCCAAATGCTAGATTCAATTCTGCTCAGATTAGGTTCTCCTTCTTTCCTTTAAAGACATTTAACCTTTGCCACATTGGCCGGAAAGTAGAACATTGAAGGAGGTACTGCCCCTACACAGTTGAACAGTCTCGCGCTCCAGTATAGCGGCGCTAACTACCCGCGATCGCGTCGCGCGCTGTGCCTAGAGCGCGCTAGTTGGAAAAATCGTCAAATGTACCCCCTATTCAAAGGACTATAACTTTCTTCATTGATAACCATTTCAGAAAGTGAAGGCAGCTTTTGAATGCACAAGACTTCTAGTTTCGAAGTTGTGCTGAGCGTTTTCTAAGCACGCCTATTCTCGAGAGTGGGAGACGTCGAGAAATTGTCGAGGAAATTGAAATTACATGCGAGTTCCCACTCTTAGGAAAGGCAGTAGCTGTCTTCATTGTATGTCTTTAACTCGGACGTAACGTTCTGAAGTAAGAAGACTCCAGCTTTCAAACATTTCCACACTTGTTCCATAACCTTTAATTCCCAGAAATCGACTGCTCGCGGAAATGTCAGGAAAATTTTTGAAGCCACCGAAACTCTATACCCCTGTCTCGTAGTAGGGTGATTCTTACACATCTTACAAATACTCTTAAACGCCAGTCGATTGAGTAATGAAAAATGATGCACCTGGCGCGGATCCGTTCCGTTCTTGTATGCGCCATGCAGTGACCCCACTCGGAATCATTGGGAAGGTGTTTTGTCTTAGTGACGACTTCCTTAAGCACACCAAAAGATATTTCCAGTATTAACTAATTAGGATGACTCTTGTAGTCATAGTGATGTCTGATTATTCCTTTATTGAAATCGCTTCCTTTCCAACCCGTTCTGATGAATGACACGCTTGCGGTTGCAGGATCTGATGATGCCAAGAAGGCTGCGAATCTGCCTGTTTTGAACTTTCTACAAGATGCTGTTTCCTCCACTAAAGTTTTCGAAGCATTAACGTCATTCTAGTAGTAATCGCTGCCCTTTCCCTACGATTCTTTTGCAGGACGCGTTGCCTTCCTATGCCACACTGATCACTACGAACCAAACCAACAC